CGTATCTTCGTGAGCAAACCTTTATCCTGAAAGCTAAGCTTGAAAACCGAATCCCAACCTTAACCCTTAAAACTAACCATGAAACCTTAAACCTCTTACTCTAACAATAAAATCTTAATCCTAATTCTAAAAGTAGAACCATATTCATAGTCCTAACTTTAAAAATAATTACAACTATAACCCGAATCCAAACTTAAAAACCAAAATTCTAAACCCCCAAAATTAAACCCGTACTCTAACCCTAAAATCCAGTGTCCAAAGCAACTTTACCGATTCAATTGTGAATACGTTAACGAAACACGCCTACTTACAAACAATAAGTAGAAATGTTTTATAATAACTAGGCGGAGTTGTATACGACGCCGTTCCCTCAATACTCACAAAGAAACCTACAATAAAACAGACCTAAGGCCTTTGCAGATTTTAAAATACCTTTCGAACTAATTGCATCCGTGGAGCGAAATAGTAGTTTAGAAAGAAATCTAACGGAAATCGGACTGGATTAGTGGGGTAGGGGGCTGACGAGGAAAACTCACTGGGAAACAGGTGAGCGGCAACCGCAAAGGGTGAACAAACCGCTCCTGAGGACGCGGCGTCCTCCTGGTTCCTGAGTTCCGCATCATCTACGAAGTTGGCGAGGGTGCAAGGTACGAATATCGGGATCCTAAGAGGGTCGAGAACAATGCGGGTGCCGCGATAGCCGAATGGATAGCACGGTACCGGGAAAAAGTGAAAGCCCATGTTTGAAGCTCGACGATAGATGTGAAGCAGCTGCAGATAGATTTCAAAAATTCCGGGGTTAGGGTTCAGGAGATTGCAGCAAGATTATTACACAAAACCTAGAAGATTAGACTCAAACAAGTTTCGACACACTTGGGCACCCTTAGCCGCTCCTTGTTGGCTACGTAACTTGAAATTAACACAGTCGCCAATCCAATTGACTTTGATAGATAAGAGCAATCTATAAATCTGAAATTAGAAAAACTAGAGTCGCCAGCTCTGTCAATCGAGATCCATAAATGAACCAATGTCAGTTTTTGAATATACTGCCACATCTTTCTCAGGAACAGGGGTGGAAAGGACAAATGGCCGTAACTTCAAGGATGCCACCGCGGTGCATATTTGAAAACGGAAAAGGGAACTATTCAGATAATGCGCTGCGCAACAGCGTCAATGATCAA